CGTCCGGGCCACTCGACGGACCGATACAGGTGTTGGATGGTTTTCGTGGTCCGGACCGTGCAGTCCGGACAGTTGTGAGCGATTTGAGGGTCCGCTTTGGAGATGCCCTAACTATAGCCATTATTTTTTTGTATTGCACAATCTGCCTAACATGGTTACAATCCCTCGCCTTATTAGATCATATAGGCTGATGATAATAGTTACTTTTACATACGGTTGAATCGCTGATTATTTGCTCTTGCTATGTTGATGTGTATTTGTAGATGTATACTCATCTTTTTTAGACTAAATCTGTTGCGTCATGCACTCCTGCTGAGAGAGAACAAAACAAATGATGTGCATTAGATGGTAGAAAATTAGAAAGGGATGGGAAGCATGACACATGTGGTAAGCAATCCAAACTATTCAAAAAGGAATGAGAAGCATGTGTGAACTTGGTGTTGCATGGTTATTGCTTACCTAGACGAAGGTATATAACCAAATGCTACTTGTGAATTATGGATGAACTGAATAGTGTGAATACTGATTATCAGTATACATATAGAGCTTTCACTAGCATTCTTTTTTACTTTTGTAATGCCATCGAGTATCTCAAGAGTTGCCACTGGTATATCATATTATCTCTAACCTGTAACTCTTGCGCAAGAGAATATGAAGGGGCAGGTTGTTGTCAAGTCCCAGCACAATTATAATGAGTTGGACCTTCCAACATAAAACAAAAACATTCTTATATTGTAGCCATCAGAAGTTACATCATTCACAGGCAAAATTTGCATGTCCCATTTAGTGGGAGAAATAGGGTACAGGCAGAAAGTGAAATCTAGATTCATACAACGCTACATCGGATAGAGGATGGTCTTGCCACCAACATGGTATCTTTCACAGAGCTTTTTTAATGTACCCACTGAGTGCTGCATTGAGTTCAGTTTGGTATCCATGAACATGGCCTGCAAACACGGTGCTTCTCTTTAGTCTACGTTTTCAGAATCTACATATTTGTTAAACATATGCTCGACAAAATAACATATTCGAAAATTGTGTTATACCTTGTAGTTGTCACCATACTTCTCTATTAATCTGCCAATACATAGTCGTTGAATTTTAGTCAGTGGCTCCAAAGGTGCAGATTTGCCATCCCTCCTTTTCTTCCCAAGTGCAGATTTTAGATCTACATTGCATAGAATAAATTCTATGAGATCGTACACAAGTACATCATCACTCTTACTGTCTACAATATACGTAATACTGTTTGTAAACTGAAATACAAATATATGCACCGTAACATATGCCCTCTTATGCGATGAAACAACTCAAAGAAATATAACAGTAACATTTTAATTACTATACTATGACAATAAATAAATTTACCTCAGGTGCTAAACAAAGAACACAAAAAATTATATCCATTGAGTAACAAACAAAATGTCCTGCTAGCCAAGCAAGAACTCACTGTATTAATCCATCGAGTTGATAACATAATGTCTTGCTGTCATAACAAAGCTATTGCCATGACAGAACATTGCTAGGTACATTTCATAGCTTCTTAGGACATTATCTTTTGATATTGGCGGCAGAAAAGAAAGAGAACTTCTTTTAAATATGTAAAGACTTATTGTCAAATAGAACATTCAAAATAAGCATTTCATAGCCTTCAGAGAGCATGCTAAAAGCAGTGCATTTCAATTGGTCTTAAGTATACACTAATATCAATACTTGCTGGGGCTTGGATATTAACAAACCATCTCACCAGGAAAAAAACTTGACAGGCCTTGTCTTTCACAGCGTACTCAATTTTTGAAAACAAACACAATTGTGACTTGGATTTTTAGTATTCTGTGGCTTTGGAACATCTAAGGGAACCATAATTTTTTATAAAAAAATGGAGCACCAGTTGAGTGTTTTTTGTTTCTTGATTGATGGGACTTATCCTGCTGTTACCATTGGGCAATGGTTTTTCTTTCAAAATCATGTTAATCTTTTGGAGAACTTGCCATCATGCCAATTGTTACACTCTATGCGACAGTAAGCTACCGAGTGTATGGGATGTTCTGAGAAGACAGTGGCGCAAGATGATGCATGCTTTGAGTAGCGAGGATGGATGAGAAAACCAAGATGAGGAAACAGTAGTATTATTGCTTACTCAAAAGGCCTCTTCTCTTTTTGCAGTTAACTACTCCCTCCGTTCCAAAATAGATGACTCAACTTTGTACTAGCTTTAGTACAAAGTTGAGTCATCTATTTTGGAACGGAGGGAGTAACTAGGAGAAAGATTTCTTGCATCAGAGCACATGTGCCCTCTGAATTTTCAAAAATTCAAAAAAGGGCCTACAAAACTAAATAATCCCAGAAATAAATCTGGGATGTAGATATTAGAATGAATTATGTATCAGCATACTTTCTTGAGAAAATGTATTGATCAGTGGTCTGCATAAAACATACAAGACTGAGGAGCCCAAAAATGTATCTTTTGAAACTCTCAATTAGTTGCATACTTCTGCACAGGCTAGAATTCAAAAAACAAGCATGGAACCTGAAATCAGAATATAATTGTTCAGCCATCTTCATGTGTAAATTTTCTGTTTTTTTAGGAAGAAGTAAAAATATTTTCTGAGCCGGAAGGATGTGATCCAAGATCACTTAGTTTATACTGTAGGAGCATATGACTTCTAACTTGTTGACTACAACTCTGTTCTTCCTCACATACCCCAGTACTAAGTTGAATCAGAAACCAACTACTGCAGCTACTGAGCTTCCGCTGCTTCCTGAACTTTAGAAGCAGTGTTTGTATTGCCAGCCACAGCAAACTGTTTACTGCCGTAATACCTTGCATCTTTCTATATAAATTTCCTCAAATGACACCAACACTTAAGCATAAAGCTCAGAATATACTATGAATAAGAAATTGAAACAGAAACCCAAATCTAGGAGCTGTTGAAAGCAGTTCCAATTCAAATTATATTTGAATATATTGTGTCTTCACAAAGTAGTAATTTCTTCTTTTGAAAATTTGATAGATAGTATGCTAACCATAGTATCAATTCTTGATCCAACAACATGACTGACAACATATCACAAATTATGTAAGTCAAAAGCCAGGTGAACTTCTCTTTTGTCCATAAAACAGCTACTACCATGACCTTTACGGCTATTTCAGCAAAAGAAAAAAACATTCCGTTGGAAGCATACTGTTGGAGAACAAATTAATATTTATCAAAACTCCAAGTTATGTCAGGAGTAAAAGAAAGATTGAACACAAACATCTCCAAGCAAACCATCGAACCTACAACTTCGATGAGAAACTCCAAGTTATACCAAGGGTAAAAGAAAGATTTTACACAAACATCTCCAAGCAAACCAGCGAACCTAAAACTTGGATGAGAAATGTGTTGGACGGACTTGGTTTACACACTGTTCATTTCATTGCTCTGGCAGCTCAACGGATTACTCACAGCACAAAGGAAATCACGTCTAGAGGCAAACCATCTGCATATGCCCAAACATAAATGAACAACAAAAAATAAGAGCTAAATCAACACATGTGATTGACAAATCGCATTATGCCATGCCAATTGATCCACCAAATTCGCACATTCACCAAAACTAATTAATACGGCACCTAAGATTCCCATCAGTATAACCAAATTAGCGACATGTCCTGAAGAAACTGGGCATAAAACATAAATTCACCAGCTCGTGAGCCGGTCCAAGTTTATCAGACGGGGAGAAGGGACGGGAGACTGACCGTCGCACTCGAGGTCACTGCCGGTGTCGACGGGGCCGAACTCGTCGACGGGGGCCCGCAAGGCGTCGACGTCGGGCGCCTGCAGCGAGGCGCTCTGGACGAGGCCTCGCGTGCCGCGGGAGTGGGCGCCGAGCAGGTTGGGGTTGGCGACGACCCCGAAAGCGGAGTAGTTCTTCACGACGCTGCCCTCCGCGTCCCAGCTCGGCACGTGGCCGCCGGCCTCTGCGGCGGCGGCGGCGGCGAGCGCCTCGGGCAGGTCGAAGGCCGGCTTGAACTCGCGCGGCTTCTTGCGCGGCAACCCCACGCGCACCTTGGTGCGGGTTCGCTTGAACTTGCGCCGCGACCCTCCCATCGGCGCTGCTACTACGGTTTCGGGAGGAGGGGTTAGCTAGCTAGGGTTTTTGTGAGAGGACAGCGGAGAGAGAGGGGCGACCCGACGAGGAAGAAAGTTCTTTTATGGGCCTTCGGGAAAAAAGCAAAATAGGCCCGTTAACTCACTTGCTGGCCTTTGCATCGGCGGGGTGGCGTGGGCGCCCTTTAAACACGGGAACATATTATACGTGTTACCTTCAAGAAAGCGGATTTTATTTCAATGCCCTCTACCGAGTACCTTTTTTTTCGTTTGGACATCGAGCAGGTCACTGGGACTATCCGGCTTCCAGTGTGGTCTCTGAATGTCCATCATTAGCAAATACTATTTCCTCTCTGCACTGACATAACTTCCAGCTAGAGACGTCTTGATGATGGCGATACATTCGACGAGAAATTTAAGATGTACTATCACAGAGCAAGTCAACAAGAGTAAACAGGTAAGACAACATATCATATGAATCTGAATGTGACTTGACATGCAACAAATAAAACCTTTAACTGTTTCGAAAGTGGTGCCCTGAGAAGGGACAGACAATTTAGTAGTAAAAAAATACGAAAGGGTGAAACATCTATGCCAAAATCTTCAGTATATGAAATTGTTACATCCTTCGCAATAACTACTAAGATTAGGTCTCTCGCATACTTTATTTTGACAATTTGGTGTGAAAGAGGATGGTCAAGTCGTAACAAGGAGAAGGAGTCAAGGAGTTGTGCAGCGGGGCGGAGATGGTCAGGTCGAGCACAGTGAGTTTGATGAAGATGTGTGATGCTGCGAGGAGACCAATAGGAGGAGAATGAAAATGCAACTTCGTCTTCAAGTGCTGCTGGTGACTCTGGCTCTATGATGCTACGATTTAGCCTGTGTTGGCTTTTGGCTGTAATAGACTTTAGTGTTTGGTGTGTCTGATGAACTATGGTGCTGTCAGGTTTTCGCCCCATGGCGTTCGTTTCGATGTCGGGCGAACACGGTGGGTTTCCTGGCAGTGCTCGAACTCGTTGTGCCTCTTTCCCACCCCCTGTCATGTTCTTGGAACTTTGTATTTCCATTCATTTGCAATGGAAAGGGGTCATGCCCGGTTCGGAAAAAAAAGAGGATGGTCAAGTTTCCACTCCATGAAGCTCTGGCTCCACCCTCCACATTCGTCGGTTGGATAAGAACTCACTTCGCCGTGCTATTAGATCATCATGGCGATCCATATGGCAAACAATTCGATGCGTGAAACCGGTTTCAATCTAGCCATTTCCTCCAACATTTAAAGATACACAATATTGCATGCTACAACTTGACCATCTGCCTAATACTTAAAATATAAACAAAGGACTGCAGGCAATACTGTATTGTCTGAATAATACCTAAAGCTGTAAATAGAGGAATGAAGGGTCTAAATTATCTACTGTATCTATATTTGTGCAGTAAGATTACTCCCATAAATGAGGAATTTACAGCTACACATGTCCTTAAAAAGTGTGTTCTGTTGAGTGTCATGGCAAGCCAACTACAAGAAGCAAAGCCCCGTAAACTCGACAGGTCACTTATCAAATGCGGACCAGTTTGTTCATAAGGTGGGTGAAGCAGACAGATGTTGCTTAATCTCTGAATGGCGTCTGTCTAACATACTTTGACAAAAAAAATTAACCAGCAACTCAACCTTGCTGAGCAGAGGGCTCCTCAAAGATCCTGCACTCCAGAATGTTAAAGTTATTAGAAACATAAACATACTTCATCTGTTTTTCCTCTAAAACAGAAGAAAAATAGTGTACTTCTGATCTGAAATACCCTGCTGCAATCAACAGGATAATGGCATGAACAACTCGGAGAACTGTTGAAGTACAAAATATAATTGCACGTTGACTAAACCATACCTGAAAGTTTAAACTTGAGCAAATAGCAATTAGTTTAGTGTTTTCTAAATAGGTAAGAGAATGTTCTGCGTCTGATAGATCATTTGTTTTTTTCCAGTCTTGGGAATCTAATGCTGATATATTTATATTTGGTTCGGTTGTAATGAGCTGAGATATATAAATTTTGTAAGTAAACTGAATACATTGCAGTAAGACATAATGGAAAAAATGGTTATGCACTAAAGTCCCTGCAAATTTTGTTTGCCGAACTGGATGCGAGCAATTTGAGGGACTAAAATGCCACTGTTATTATAATGATTACATATAACAGTGACTACGAGTCTCCTCGAACCTGATAGTAGTCAGTATGGAGCTCTTGGCAACAAACTCCCTGATACAAACGTCTCCATTTGCCATCACTCACTGCATTCTACCATTGTAAAAATATTACTAGAGAATTAAGACTTCTTCACGCTTGAGTGATGCTGTGATGGATACTAGAGAATTTATAATACTAATGGCCTGGTGGATGGGACATGGAGAATATGCATGCAAAAAGGAAGCTGATAAGAGCTGAGAAAGTGATGCAGCTAACCCGAGACAACAAACAACCCAAGCTGAAGGTTGGACACAATTTGGTGGAGAAGAGTAACAATTACTTAAAATAATTTAGTCTATATAAGATGCTATAGTTGATTTTTTTTATGTGCTACTACTAACAAATGCCTATTACAAGACACAAGTACACTGATTACAGCTATCTCATATTCAAAATTATATTTAAACTAGTGTCGAGCCACAAAGTTTATTAATCCTTCAACAGAGTGCAGATATTTCCCATTCCATTTGGAGTCCAAAACCCACAAACACTATTGTACTTTGAACATGATACTGCAAAACCAGTTAGTACACTTAGAACAGCCAGAATTTCATAGCTTCCATGGATGCACATCAAATTGAGTACATATCCTTACACTTGTTTATGGGACAACCTCTCCAGCAATAACTGGACAGAACATTTGAAAGCACACAACCCAATCCAATATGTTCCTTTCCATGCAAGAATTGAGAGTAACCATCAAAAGTGAAAAAATGGAATTGAGAGAGCAAGGGCATTAGGCAGCTGGACTCGAATTATACAAGGTGAGCATGGGCAAATTGAACTGAACTGGGGCATATGAACCTCAAGTTCATCAGATTCAGTGGCACGTTTACCAGCAAATGCTCCCAAAAGTTGAGGGTAAATCTGTCGGTAAACCAAAACGTTTACTTAGATCAGACAAACAAGCAGGCCTGTTTAAAATCAAATTGCTAACTTCTCTTCTTTTTTTTTGCGGGAGATTGCTAACTTCTCATTGATGATGATAATAAGATGGTACCATCACATACATCACATCATAACACAACCGTCAAAGAACCTTACTACCACAGACACGGGCTAATAAGAAACTAACGCATCTCTACACCTCAAGACCATATCAGACACTAGGATTCTAGGAAGCAGTCTTAGGCCCTCTCGCCACGGATGCGGCGGGCAAGCTGGATGTCCTTGGGCATGATGGTGACGCGCTTGGCGTGGATGGCGCAGAGGTTGGTGTCCTCGAAGAGCCCGACGAGGTAGGCCTCGGCGGCCTCCTGCAGCGCAGAGACGGGAGTCAATTGCACAAAATCACCATATTTGTGGATAGGTTTGCGGAAAACCACCAACTCGTTAATCCGTTGCAAAAAACACCGCAAAATCACTTAAGTCGTTGCAAAAAGCACTGATCGGGTGATTTGGGCCGTTTAATCACTTTCTTACAAGTGGGCCCAAATTGTAAGGAATTGACTTAGCGGAAAAATTACACACACACCCCTAGATCTAAAAAACAAAAGCAATCAGACCCCTCCCCCCGCGCGTGTATGAGTTCTACGTCGCCGGCGGCGTGGTCACGGCTGGCCTCTACCGCCTGCATGTCCAGCAGGTCGCCGACCATCTTCCTGCCGCCGCTCATCCCGTCATGTTCGTCGAAGGAGGCACGGTGCTCGTCGATGACTCGCTGCGCCGCCGCCCTTCTCGGAAGCCGCACTGGCCACCGCTTGGCGCCGCCGATGTCCAACACACCGAGCACTGGCAGCTTCAGTGGAGAGGCGTCGGAGGCGGAGCTCGTCCACGTGGACGGCCGCGGAGCGGAGGAGGAGGCCCGTGGAGAGTCATTGGGGAGGTGGTGTGCGGAGGGGAGCTCGGGCCGGTTGAGGGAAACGATGTCGTGGGCCGTCAGGCACTCCTCGGCGGCGGCCGGATCGGCGATGTGGATCACCTGACGAGAGACGAAGTAGAGGAGCAGCGCCGGCCCGTGCGCCGCCGCGCACGTCCGCTATGGAGGTCCACCGGCACACTCTCGCCGGTGAGCACCAGAAAGAATGGCGGCCGCGACCCCAGGCCGCGAGTGCCAAGGATGTGCTGGAGGAGGAGAATCCCAACGGACGGCAAGCAGAGCACCGTCGTGCCCACCAGATGGCATGGCAGGGGGCGCCGCAGCTGCGCTTTGAGGCAGAGAAGACCCGGTCAAAATTGCTCTGGGCTGGCTGTTGTGCATATTAGGGAGTTGATTGCATTTATTTATTTATTTCAGGGGTGTGTATGTCAACGTTTTGCCATCTAAGCTCCTTACAATCTGGGCCCACTTGTAAGAAAGTGATTAAACGGCCCAAATCACCCAATCAGTGCTTTTTGCAACGACGGTGCTTTTTACAACAGATTAACGAGTTGGTGGTTTTCCGCAAATCTAGTTCTGTGCAATTGACTCGAAGACGGCGGAGCTCTGGAAGCGGAGGTCGGTCTTGAAGTCCTGCGCGATCTCCCGCACCAGGCGCTGGAAGGGCAGCTTGCGGATGAGCAGCTCGGTGCTCTTCTGGTACTTGCGGATCTCCCGGAGCGCGACGGTGCCGGGGCGGAAGCGGTGCGGCTTCTTCACGCCGCCGGTGGCCGGGGCGGACTTGCGCGCTGCCTTGGTCGCCAGCTGCTTCCGCGCCGCCTTGCCGCCGGTGGACTTCCTCGCCGTCTGCTTCGTGCGGGCCATTGGGAGTGGAGGGTTTGCTACGTGGGCGCGGAGAGAGGATTGCTCGGGAGATTTGGGAGTGGAATGAGGAACAAGG